CCCCCCCCGGCCCCCATCTACTAGCCTTTGACAACGACCTCCCCACAGCTTGCACAGCGGTCCAAGTCAGTCTCATTGGTTACGTTGCTTCGAAGGCGAAGCACAAAGTCTTTGAAAGCCTCCGCCTCGACAAACGCTACCACATACTCGCCGACCGGGACCACGGGCAGAGGGATGTATGGGTCGAACATGTCATCGGTATGGATAAGCGCCTCTTTCTTGCGATTCATATCGCTCACCAGGGCCTGAAGGTCGCAGACGCATATAGCGCCGCGGGGGGTACTGTCCTCTGCTTCGGCAATTGCATACATCTTGAAGTTGCCGTAAAAGGTATGTTTCTGTTGTAAGTAGGATATTGGTTAGTAAAATGAGTCAGAGGTATCTGGAGACATCGTCTCGAAATTGGGGAATTTTACCTCCGGTAGGACTAGCTGGATTGTATGGGTTACAACTTGGATGAAGCTGCCGCTTTCCAACATGTCTCGCCTCACAACAAACTCCAGAGATGGAATGTCCAACATGTGGTCCCCCACGGCGCGCAGCCATTGCGGGATGCACGCCTGCTAGACCACATCGTTATGAAACTTGAATCCCCTATTCTCGGAGAAATGAATAGACGCAGCCTCCCCGCGCGACTGTTGGTAGGCAGTGATAAGACCTGGGGTGATGTTGCACAAATCTCCATAAGGGCACTTGCCAACGACACAGGTTTCTGGGACCATTCTGACGGCGACACATTTCTTGGAGTTGCTGGGAACTGTCATGCGGTAGATGTAGTTGAAGGGTGCGCTGGGAAGTTGGTCGAGGACACCTATGTCTAACTTGGCATCGCCGTAGCAGTCATATTCTTGGACTGGTTGTTGATTCTCGGCTTGGTATTTGATCAAGTACTCGTACTCGATTGCATCGTCGTCGTTGTTGGAGTCTAATACAGCACATTAATAATTAGCGGGTAACTGATGGAGATGATGGTCAGAACTGGGCTTACCGGCTTCGCAATCACGAATGCCACTCGCAGGGTTGCTCATTTCAGCGACTTGAACGTGAAGTGGACTGGATGCTGGTAAGGGAGATGATTGTCTTCTTCAGTGCTGGAACAGGGGAATTGTCAATGTCTGAATGGCGTCTGTGAGTGGATGTGTGGTGTTAAAGGAAGTTGTCTCCTGGCTTTTCGAAAATCCTTCTTTTGTGCGAGAAATTTGGCGCTAGTGGGCTAGCCCGCGTATTGGCAAACATTTTGAGACGACTTGTGGCCATCATGACGCGAGCACGTGCATATGAGCACTGCAAGCGAGCCTTGGGCGTCGAGAAGCTTCAGCAACGCGTTGCAGCGGGCGGGAGGAGAAGCCATCAAGTATAGGGGCTGGCAGCCAACGATCAAATGACTATACTGAACAGGATTGGCCATGGGTTGGTCAAGGAGACATTGGAAACGGGACCTAGGTCCGAGAAGATGAACGGAGGTGTCGAGCGGAGAGAAGCGAAGCGCGGGCCACTGAAGAGATTGGCAAGTCTACTGCCAGGCACTCGAGCTCCAAACCACGAGGACTCGCGTCCTCGGGCGCAGCCTCAAGCCCTTGAAGCAGCCGAAAAATTGTTATCTGGGCGGCAGAGCGTACAATGCCTCCTTTCGATCATGACAGTTGGTTCTGCCTGCTTCATAATCAAGTGGCAGGACAGCGCGTTGAGTTCGCGTCGATGGCACGCATTGAGCACGATTCTCCCAAGCGTCTTCGTTGATGGCCACCGCTCCACCTTGCTTTCAAGTCAAGCGGGGAGACACGCGCTCAGCGCAGGGAACCGGGGCAAAGCAGAGCATGGCCTACTCCAGCGGATCTTTTCTTGACAACTGGTCCCACTTGCTTCCTAGCCGAGCGGCCGAGTAACACCTTCGGCGTGCGGAGCTAGATGAACACGAACCATGTCCCTGACGGGCTCTGATAGCTTCGATTTCTGGACTCATCTCCAGCCTCCGCACTTGAGTGCAGCCAACGCTTTCACTTGCGCTGCCTGGTGGCACTCGAGCAGCCGTGGTGACTGGACGAATATTTGCGTACATCGCTCATCTTGCTGGCGTTTGATGTGCTCTGGCAAGGATTGTGAAGGAACGGTCATACCAACGGGCACTTCGGTCGGCTCGGCGGACTGTTTTACGGTGTATATTTTCGTATATGAAGGCGAGAAAAGTCGTATATTCCAACAGCGGTTAGGGTACGGCAGCCAGCACAGCAGCCTTGAGATGGAATAGACACTAGACTGGAGGTGCAGGAGGTGCCCTCTCGCGAGGGCTGTACAATAGGCGATATTCTGCTCCATAGCCTCCAGACACAATGGAAAAGCATCGATAGCTCGCTCGATTCCACGATGATTCGTTCCTGGTTCGGCAGAGGGAAGCTGTACTATACGAGGAAAAGAAAGGCCTCCAAGCTCACATGAGATTCGGTCATCCCGAACAATATAAGCATAATCGAGGGCTCCGATTGTAGAGGTTTGCTGAGATCCGCTATCACAAGGCTTTGTCGATGGAGGGGCTAGATACAAAGCACAAATAATCTGCGATGGCCAGAAGCATGCCGAATACCCTGGCTCCTGGACTACAGCCGGGCACTGTCTCTTCAGATGCACCCAAACGTACGTCTGAGCACCTTGGAGAAGTGGAGAAGAGGAGACCACGTAAGAAGTCACGTGCAAACGCGGGTCCATTGTATCGTCGCGCGATGAGATTGCCCGTGAAGAGTGCATCTCCTGGAAGTGAAGATGCAAAATAGGACGAGGGAGGACTTGTGTGAGATGGATTGACTGGGAGGAGGCAATCGGCCGCAAGTTAATGGACGCAAGTGGTGCGCAAGAGGAGCCGGAGACTCTGGTGGAGGCTTGAGGAGAAATGAACAGGGGGAAGGCGAGAGGTCTGCATGATTGTGGACATGTGACGAGTAAGGGGCAGTATACTACATAGTCAACACATGCCTATCCTTCGGTCCCAGAAAAGGACAGGAAAGACGGATCTGACACTCAAGCGGAACAGAGTGGTTCACAAAATGATGGAACGAGTCACCTATGATGCATCTCGAGGGAACGCTTTCAGGAGTGAGTGGTTGTGATTCATGTCACAGAGAGGTTTTGGGGGTTTTGCGTGCTCATACCTCCTAAGTAATTCCCAATATCCATCGTAGCTCCTAAGTCCTAGTAGACATGATGTGAAGGGTAAACCCTGGTTACTACCACCTTCAGCCACCATTGCATGCTGTACTAGAGGTGGTGAGTGGTGAATATGCGAGCACGAGTGAGCATTGTCTGGGAGTTGGTTGGGAGGTGAAGTCTGAGAAGTGGACCCTCGTTTATTTAGAGCTAGCGCACGGCCACCGCCAAGCCAATTCGAACTTTTCGTGGGTTCTTCTGCATCACGACTCTCTCAGATCCGCAAATCTATCTCCAAACCACCTACTTCCTCCCACAACACACATCGATATGGCGGACGAAGTATACGATGGTGCCATTGGCATCGATCTCGGAACCACCTATTCATGTGTCGCCAACTATGAGGGCGCCGGTGTTGAAATCATGTATGTTTGGGCGCTGAAATTTGGCGAGAAATCTGGTCAAAGACGAGGACATCTTTTCTGACAGTCGCAATACAGCGCCAACGAGCAGGGAAGCTTCACCACCCCTTCGTTCGTCTCCTTCACCGCCGAGGAGCGTCTCATCGGAGAGGCCGCGAAGAACCAGGCCGCCATGAACCCAGAGAACACCGTCTTCGATGTCAAGTGAGTGCGCACCCAATGCGCGAGGGTGCGAGCAGCTGGTCGAGAGCACAGCACTGATGCAGAATAGGCGTCTCATCGGACGACGATTTGATGACCCAACCGTGAAGAAGGACATTGAATCGTGGCCATTCAAGGTCGTCGAGGAGGGCGAGAACCAGCCCAAGGTCCAGGTCGAGTACCTCGGAGAGACCAAGACCTTCTCTCCTCAGGAAATCTCGGCCATGGTCCTGGTCAAGGTGGGTGGCGAACCACAATCTACAGCAACGAACAACTCAGCTCTAACAATCTGCAGATGAAGGAGGTTGCTGAGACTAAGCTCGGCAAGAAGGTCGAGAAGGCCGTCATCACTGTCCCAGCTTACTTCAACGACAACCAGCGTCAAGCTACCAAGGATGCCGGTTCCATCGCTGGTCTTAACGTTCTCCGTATCATCAACGAGCCCACCGCTGCCGCTATTGCCTACGGTCTCGGTGCCGGCAAGTCCGACAAGGAGCGCAACGTTCTCATCTACGATCTTGGTGGAGGTACCTTTGATGTGTCTCTCCTCAACATCCAGGGCGGTGTGTTCACTGTCAAGGCTACTGCTGGTGACACTCACTTGGGTGGATCCGACTTCGATACTGCTCTCCTTGAGCACTTCAAAAAGGAATTCCTGAAGAAGACCAAAAAAGGTGACTGAGCAATCCTACTACACCGTCGCTGCGCAATCCAACTAACTCCTCACCTCTAGATCTTTCCTCCGACCCACGTGCTCTTCGCCGACTGAGAACTGCTTGCGAACGTGCCAAGCGTACCCTTTCCAACGGTACCCAGACCACCGTCGAGATCGACTCCCTTTTCGATGGCGAGGACTTCAACGCCAGCATCACCCGTGCCCGTTTCGAAGACATCAACAGCAAGGCTTTCAACGGCACCCTTCAGCCCGTCGAGCAGGTCCTCAAGGACGCTTCGATTGAGAAGAGCAAGGTTGACGAGATTGTGCTTGTCGGTGGTTCTACTCGTATTCCACGGATACAAAAGCTCCTCAGCGACTTCTTCAACGGCAAGAAGCTGGAGAAGAGCATCAACCCTGACGAGGCTGTCGCTTACGGTGCTGCCGTCCAGGCTGGTATCCTTTCTGGCAAGGCCACATCTGCCGACACTGCCGATCTCCTGCTTTTGGACGTCGTGCCATTGTCGCTTGGTGTTGCCATGGAGGGCAACATCTTTGCTCCTGTCGTTCCTCGTGGACAGACTGTCCCAACTATCAAGAGTATGCATCTATCTTCCCGTCCCATTCTGACCACAAGCTAATCGTATCACAGAGTATGTGATTTTCCCCTCTATACTAACATTCCCTCTCGCTGCACACATCTCCTTCCACAGCATGGCCGCTCTAGCTTCTGGATCAATCTGGACTGGTTGAGCTGTCCCTCGAACGTGTCGCCCATTTTTCCCGAACTTCAGGAACAACATCCACAACAACACCTGGAGAGAGCGCGGTCTCTACTAATCGTCGGGCTTACATTACGACGACATTCATTTCCAGGGACGCCGCTGCTTCAGGCGTCCCTGTGAAATGCCGAAGGGTGTTCACTTTGAATCCGGCCCGTTCTTCCCGTATCCTTCGCCATTTGATTGCCGGCCATGCATGTGTTCAACACTACAACTTTCCAGCGATTTTGCCGCTCATCCGCCCACTTCATGAGCATCGCATCCATCTCCAACAGGTCAACATTTCGACGACAGATTATGGTTCGGCTACATCAGCTTCAGCCGTTTTCACCAGGGCACCAATCCATTAGAGAGGACATTGCGCACCGGATCTCCCTCACGTCACATCATCACCACAGCACACGACATATCATTTACAGCAGCTGCTAACAACGTTTCTACAGGCGTACCTTCACGACTGTTGCCGACAACCAGCAGACGGTGCAATTGTGAGTTCCCAAGTTATTCCCATCTATTGGCGCTGCTGACCATGACGTAGCCCCGTCTTCCAGGGAGAGCGTGTCAACTGCGAGGTAAATCCGGAGCATCATTTCCATATCGGTGCCACTACTGACACAAGCAACAGGACAACACTTCCCTCGGAGAGTTCACACTCTCGCCCATCCCACCTATGAGTAAGTTTCGACACATGTCTCTCTGGCGCGCACATCCGCTAATTGTATCGCAGAGGCTGGTGACGCGGTCCTCGAGGTCGTCTTCGAGGTCGATGTCAACGGTATCCTGAAGGTCACCGCCACCGAGAAGTCCTCCGGTCGCAGTGCTAACATCACCATCTCCAACTCGGTCGGAAAGCTCAGCTCTGGCGAGATCGAGAAGATGGTTGAGGATGCCGCCAAGTTCAAGGACAGCGACACTGCATTCAGCAAGAAGTTCGAGTCGAGACAACAGTTGGAGAGCTACATCAGCAGAGTCGAGGAGATTGTCTCTGACCCGACAATGAGCATGAAGCTCAAGCGTGGACAGAAGGAGAAGATTGAGAGCGCTCTCTCCGAAGCCATGGCCGCGCTCGAGGTTGATGACGCCAGCAGCGACGACCTCAAGAAGAAGGAGCTCGCACTGAAGCGTGTTGTCACCAAGGCCATGTCCACCCGATAAACGCCTCAGGTCTACTTTTGGGTCATCATATTCCGGCGTTTTGCGTGCCTGGGAGACGAAAAAGGATGCTGGGCAGGGTGCCTATCGTGCTGAGGGCTCCCATGGACACGCATAGTATAGATCACTAGCAATGACGGGATAGCTGGCAAAAGCGAGATTGATGTATGATCAGCATTCGAGATCAAGAATGCCACGCAGCGAGTGTTTGTCAGCAGCTATGAAATGAGACTTGCAATGATCAACTACTACCACATGCTTTCATTCTCTCAAAGATTCTTTTGTTGCTGCTGCCCGCGATTCGTGCTGGGAGGGAGGAAGTGATGTGCGCCAATGAGAACCTCGGACATGGCATGTGAAGCGACGCGACTTTTTTTCACGCGAGTCTTGGCGGACATCAACAAGCTTTCTTCTTCTTCTTCATCGCCCCCCACCCCCATTGTTTTGCCCGACCTCTCATCATTTGCAGGAGGTACATTTCTACAGCTTGCACCGGCTATGCTCGAATCGGTACGCTTTCTCCACTTGCCTGGTGAGAGCTGCTCAACACATTGACTCTTTTTGAATCCAGCTTCCCACGACGACCGAGTCCATCACAATGGCGAATAAGAGTACGTGGCAGCACTAACCTTCTTGATCCTGAAAGGTACCCCGAGAAAGAAAAAGAAACAAAAAGAGAAAGGGATGATGTGCTGAAACATGTGAAATTTTTCTGGTATTACCACAAAAAACAGAACTGCCAGCGACAGGCGCATTATCCGAAGATGGCCTTAAACATTTCAAGACGTACAAATACTCTTCTGTGGATCTCTCACCTATTTCGAATTATATTCTTCGACATTACGTACGTAACGTACCGTATATTCCCATTCTCCTTCCCCCAATAGAAAATGAAAAAAAAAAAAAACGTAAACAAACAAGCAAGCAACAAAAACTAAAAACCACATCTATATATCCAAAAGTGGAATTTCTGCGTCGAATACCTCCCCCTCTGGCTCGCCCCCAACATGGTAACTCTCCTCGGCTTCCTCTTCATCCTCCTCAACATCCTCCTCCTACACCTCTGGGACCCTCTCCTCCTCGGCCCCTCCTCCCCCTGGCCCCTCTACTCCTACGCGCTCGGAGTCTGGCTCTACTCCACAATGGACAACATCGACGGCAAACAAGCCCGACGCACAGGCACCAGTTCCGGGCTCGGAGAACTTTTCGACCACGGAATCGATAGTTTGAATTGTACTCTCGCTTCTCTCTTGGAAGTTTCTGCTATGGGATTGGGCAGTACACGACTCGGAGCGTTCACGGCCTTGGTGCCTTGTTTGGCGATGTTTTTTTCTACGTGGGAGACTTTTCATACGCATACGTTGTATTTGGGGTATTTTAATGGTCCCACCGAGGGCTTGTTGATTGCTAGTTTGATTATGTGTGCGTCGGGGTGGTGGGGAGTGGGGATTTGGCATGCACCTTTTTTGGCGTCGTCGGAGATGTTGGGCGGCATGATGGAAAAGATGCTGGGAACAGGAGAATGGAGTGTGAAAGATATTTTGTGGCAATTTCTGCTTGCGGCGTTTGTGCTATTGCATTTACCAGGATGCGTGTACAATGTGGTTCGCACACGCAAGGCAAAAGGCTTACCCGTGGCTCCGGTGTTCCTGGAATGGAGTCCCATGGTGGTATTTTGTGGAGGATTGATGGCGTGGTTGGGCTCGCCGTATTCGACGTTGTTGAGGGATAATCATCTCTGTCTGCTATGCTTGACGCTTTCGACGGTATTTGGCAGGGTCACGACAAAGATTATTCTCGCGCATCTTACGCGCCAACCGTTTCCGTACTGGACGGTGCTGTTGGCGCCACTGGTCGGCGGAGCGGTCATGGTGAATTTGCCATTTCTGGGTTTCTCGCCTGTGTCGGCGGATGTGCAACTCTACTACCTCTGGGCTTATTTCATCTTCAGCACCGTCGTCTACGCTCGTTGGGCGTACGTCGTCTGCACGGCCATTTGCGACTATCTGGGCATTCAGTGTTTGACGATACCTGAGGAGAAGTGGAAAGCTCTGCAAAGGGAGAAGGATGCCAAGGCGGCATAGAGAGATGAATGTGAGGATTGAGCACCGGAAGTGGCATGCTCGTGGACAGAGGATGGACGAGAGCTACAAGCATCACGATGCCCATAGATTCGGCGTGTTGTACGTCCAAGCGGATCCGGTTTCTAGACGCAGATAATCCCGATTACACACTGTCAGTCATTGCTAATGTATCCGTAGTAAACCAATGATAGCAGCTTTTGATGGTGGCATGGCATTACTAGAAGCTACATATGATACATTGCCGCCCTTCTATCCCACGACATATTCCCACATCTACCCTCTTGGTGCACTCGTGTCTGACACTGAGCCCGTCTTGTTCATACTCGAAGCAGAACCTGGCGCCATCGACTTGTCTGAAAGGAAAAAAAAAAGAACTGTTAGTACGGCAGTTTGGGAAACGACTTTCACCAACCATCGTCCACTTACCATGGCTACTAATCTCATGATGCTCCTTCGCAACACTCGTTCCCCCACTCGCAGGATTATGATGGGCTTCCTGCCGATTGCTCCCACCGGCCTCACTCGGGGCAGCATACTGCCTCAAATCCTTATACTCGACCTCCTTCAACGCAGCATCATGTGTAGCGTGTAAATGCACTTTCGGAACATGCTCTTTCTGCAACTTCCCATCCGAGACGGCTTGCATAGCTTCCTTCCAGCGCGAAGCACATAAGCACCATTTCTGACCGGGCTTGACGCCTGCGCTCTTGAGATCGTTGCCTTTGGAGGCGGTGAAGTCGAGGAACTTTTCGCTGACCGTGGCTGCGATGGAGTGGTTGCCGCTGTCTTGCGGACCGGATCTGCAGTAGCCGTCTTTGAAGAAGCCGACAGGAGGGTCTTTTTGGAAGAGGGAGAGACGTCCTCCGGCGACTATGGAGGCGGCGGATTAGCGCTTGTTACTGTAGTCGTTGTTGTGGTGGTGGTGGTGATGTCGTGTGTCGAGAGCATAGGTAGCATACCATTGTTATTCTCCATCGTAGGCTTCGTCGAAGTCTGCTGTTTGGTCGCCATGGCTGCAGATGAGTGGAGGTAAGGGAGGTAGATGATGCTTGCTGTCTGTTATGCCTGAGCTGTGTCTGTAGTGTGAAGTCGAGACTACCTGTATAGATCAATGGTATAGTGATATGGATGATGGGAGACAATGGCCAACAAAGGGCACGCTCACCAGGCCGCGCCTTGCCTTACCTCCCGTGGAACGAGGACGAGTCGTTCTGGCGATGAGAACGATTGACATCACCATTATACGCCATTGACAGTAGACGACGAAGGGACAGGAACAGGAAAAGCGGCTTGGACATCTTCATCCAACCGACGAGCAGAGATGTCGTTCTTTTGTGGAGATGGAGGCCCCTGCACTGTCCGTGCCATGCCCTTTGCAGCGCTTCTTGACGACATCCAACCGCTTTTACGATTTTATCAACAACACCTTCATCTTCATCATCATCATTATCCTACCCATCTTGATTTATGTATTGAAGACTGGCTCGGTACATCGTCACAGTAATGAATGACTGCTCTCAGGGAAAGGCTTGCAATGAAGCCTACCTTGGCGGATATACAGTATCATGTTCGAACATGTGAAAAACAAGAGAAAATTGACGCAATATTATGTCTAGATAATGGGCATACAGTGGACGCACACGCTCGTGCCTGGCAAGGCTTCAATAGGCATATGAGAGAATAGAGTATTTTATTGAAAGACCTTGAAGTCCAGAGTTGGAGTCCCCAGTAGGTACTGACCAGACATACCATCAATCGGCGGCTTCGCCTCATCACTTTCGAGCACCCGATCCGAGTGAATCTTGTGCTCAAGGCTGGCTAATGAGGGGACATCTCAGCCCAACCTCTTCCTCGCGCCCTCCATCTCCTCTGGCCGCACCACCTGATTCGCAGCCACCCACACCTTTTCGTCCGCACTTTTCCATTCCGGAGCATACACGCCATTCAATTTCCACAAAAGTCTCTCCGTTTCAGCAATATGGTACCTATTTTTCCCCAAGAATCAGCATCCCACAGATACATAATCAACCTCTCTCGTCTTCGAAACGGGAAGGACAAAAAATGAGAGAAGAAAAAAAAAGAAGTCCTTACTCCCAATCATATCCTTTATCAGCAATATATGGCTTCAATACAGCATCCACACGACCCGTCATATCCGCGTATACCTGTTCATCATTCTCCGGAAGCCGAATGTGGATATGAGTGATGCACAATCGGATAAAAGGTTTTCCCTCTCCTCGTCGCGAGCGAGCGACTTCTCCCCCGACGAATTGGCTCTCGTCGGGAATGGGGATAAAAGTCACGACGACGTAAAAAGCCGGCATGCCGATTTCGGGGCGTGTGTAGATGGATGTGATGTCGTTGGATAGTGCTTGTTTGGTCTCGACATCGAGGAATGTGTCGGGAGGGTGGTAGATGATCCAGTGAGGCATTCTTTTTCTGGTAGAAATGGAGGAACTTGTGGTAAGTAAGAATTGAATTCTTGTCGTTTGAAAAGACGTTGTCTATGGTGCCTGGTAGCTGCACCTCAGTGGGAGAAGAGGTTTAAACTACCTACCTATATACGCTTTGCAGTGATCAGTAATCGGTGCCGCGACAGTCTGTTACACTGTACTCAGCCTCTATGCCAACAGCAATCAGATCTATAAGCCGATTAACCCACCCAGTGTCTAACTGTCTACTACAGCTGGTAATCAATAAACCTCGGTGTATGTTCAGTAAACGCATGTTCAGTAAACGCATATTCAGTAAACATATATTCAATAAACACATATTTGTTCAGTAACCACATAATTATTCAATAAACAGCACGCAGCACCGCACAGCACTACATCCCAAACCCTCGCTTTCCTTTCACAATCAATCCTTACGCCTCAAAACCAACTACAGTACAGCAGGCGTTACACACACAAGCCTAATGAAGGAGTAGAAAGAGAAAGAAACCATAAACTCCAAAGAAAGAGCTTGATGGAATTGGCCTCTTTAGTGAGTTCGGTTATTAATCAGATCTTATAGATGGACTGTTCGAATCGATATTTTTAGATAGTATATAATATCCTACTTACTGCTCAAGCCGGGTTTGTGCTTTGATCTTTTTTGAGTAGAAGAAATTCGAATGTTTTCTCGTTTGGGAGTTGTGGTTTGTGGTTTGTGAATTGTGAATTGTGGACTGTGGATTGTGATTGTAGAGGGAGAATTAGATTAGAACGATTATAATGTCTGTCTGTCTGGCCTAGATTGGCCTCTCGAGTCTTCGTATCGTTTTACTTGTTACTTAATGCAAAAGATAGGTTAAGTATAAACATCTTCAGGAAGTCTTTGTTGAGAGATCTCTCTCTCTCTCTCTATATATGAAAAGAAGAAGGTGAAGAGGCAGAGCAGAGAAAAAGGCCCATCATGGCCGGGAAAAAGAAGGTTTGGTGTTCTGGGTGGGGCAAAGTTCCAGACCCTTGTTCATTTGTCGAAGTGAATCCAACGACGCGTTTCAAAAATTGCCGAGGGAAAATCAGTTGGAGAGGAGGAGAAGGAGGAAGAAAGAAGCGGAGATGTACACTAAATTCTAATATATGTTGTATTTCAAAGTACACATTTGTTCTTAATTTTTGTGAAGAAATTCTTCTTTTCTTGTGTTTTTGAGAAGAAGAAAACAACTTGTATACGAGAGATAACCAGACAGCCACCATAAAGGATTCATTGCCTTCATTATACCATCTACCTTGCCTCCCTCCCTCCTCACAACAACAATGTCTTCCACACTCGGCCTAGGTCCCCACCCTCTCCTCCAGGTAAATCATCCTCACTCCCATCCCCATCACCCATCCCCACCCACAACAGTCCAACAGTCCAACAGTCCACCACCACCCCCTAACGCCCCCCCTTTCCCAGCCCATCACAGCCCTAGCAGGCTGGACCTTCCTAATGCAATCCTGGATGCACGTCACACGCATCAACGCCATCGGAAAATACAACGTCTCCATCGACGCCAGCAAAATCAATTCGGAGCTCGAATCCAAAGTCCCCAATAACATTCAAGCCATTGCGCACAATTACAATCATCTGCACGAACAACCTACGGTGTTTTATGCTGTCGCGTTGGCGCTGGCGGTTGTGGGTGATAATCATCCGTATACGATCAAGGCGGCGTGGACGTATGTTGGGTTGAGAGTGGGACATTCTTTGTATCAGGTTTTTGTGAATCGGGTTTTGGTGAGTTGTGTTTCTTTTTTTCTTTTTTCGTTTTCTCTTTTTTGGGGGGGTTATCGGAGGGAGGATGGTTTTGGGCTGACTTTTTTTCCTCGTGTGATAGACACGCTTTCAAATCTTCTTGAGCAGTTCGGTTGTCGTTGCTGGGCTGTGGGGTCGTCTTGCGACGCTTGTGTTCTAGAAAGTTGCTTGAGAGTGCGAAAAGGGGGGAGGGAGATAGGGGAGGATTGGTTGTATGATTCGGTGTTATCCATCCAGGAAATTTTCTGTTTGTATCATGAATTGCTCAATATCAATTTGAACGAGGAAACACAACTATCAATTAGTCAATAACCGCGCAGTTTTCTCCTGCCTCTAATCTGGTGATACAAGACTGATGAACAGTAATGTTTCCGATCAGAGGATGGGGCAGGATCCGTCGTGTAATCAGTGACCAGGTCTGATCACCAATCTCCCACGAAAAAGAAGCCCATATTCGCCGACCATCTGCAAGGGCACCTCATTTAGCCAAGAAGGCAATCACTCCAGTTTTTCCCCCTGGAAACGTAACCTGCCATGCACAAAGTAAAGAGGAGTAAATTGAAAACAGCCTCAATCCCAAGAAAAAGAAAACTCCTCCATTCCTTTTTTGTAGTACAAAAAAGCAAAAGAAAGTAAAGTAGATAAAAAGAGGTCGGAATCCCGTATGCGGAGGGGGGCCCTCCAGAAGATGACCTCTAGCGCTACGGTAAATAAGAGGCTGGAAAGAAAGAAAAAAGTCGAATGGCTAGATAGACTGCATGTCGTCGTTTATAATATTGACAAGTCCAAAGTCCCGAGCAAGACAAAAGCACTAAACACAGAAATTCGAATTGTCAGCACTGGAAGAAAAGTCCAAAATAACCAAAAAGCAAATATACCTTACCTTACCTAGGTACTATACCTAGTTTGAACTTACCTCACCTCACCTCACCTCAGCTAGCCTCACCTCACCTCACCTCCCAACTCCCCAAAGACAGAAGAACCTCACTCTGCATACTTTCATCAGCGAGAAAAAAAAACACACAAACGCCACCGGCACTTCAACCCTCCGTCCTCGGCTTTCTTTTTCCAAAGAAAAAGTCCAAACCCACCATCATGGACCAACCGACTCGGAATGTCTCACACAAACCAAAACTTTCCCTTTCCCCTTCCCATTCCCTTCCCCCTCCCCCTCTCACTCTTTTCCACTGACTAAGACGACCTCACACACATACCTCCTAGACCTCCCCTCGTGTCAGATCTAAAAAGAATCTAGACTCGAGACAGTCTCTAGTCTACGTTTTTTCTTTTCTTTCTCGTGTCTATGTCTGAGACATGAATGCGGACATTGGCTAGTTTGGGAATGGGAGAGGGCCAGTTGTGGGTAATTGTGCTGTAGTTGTAGTTGTGCTGGAGCTGGGGCTGTGCTGGAGCTAATGAGTCAATTGCTTTCTTTGGCGAAGGGATGTTAAAAAATGGGAGGGGGAAGGAGAGAGAGGGTTGGTTATTGCAGGAGGGTTTGTTGGTGGAGAAGAATGAATGAATGAATGAATGAATAAATAAATCTGCTCAAAGCAAGTTATGAGGAGGGAGGTGGCATAAACCTTCTGTGTTCGCATATCTCGGTGATTCTGTCGTATGCCAAGTGTATTAATGTATATTGTCTTTTTTGTTTATCGCTGGCGTGGTAGTCGCAGACGGGGAGAATGATGCCTTAGAAAAGAAAATCAACCTTCATCGCCTTCCCACGCTACAGGTTCTTGAAGATTGTGTCAGAGTCCGCCACGCTGGTCGATGAAAGAGGCATTGACAAGTCAGGTCATATGGTATACATACCATTCATTGCCAGATCCAAACGCGCAACTTCACCCCCCAAATCAATCCACTCCTCATGCAAAACAGAGACCCTTTCTTTCTTTCTCTCCACTCACAACAGCCCGCAGAGAAGCCCTAAATTCCCGGACAATTGAAGCCATTGATTTCATGAAATTCAGTCGCCAGATCCTCATTCAATCCCACCTCTCGACCCGCCGCAGTATTGAATCGTATCTTGAAAAATCCTTTTTCGTGATCCTCGTCGTCGTGGTCTTCATCTTCGTTATCATCGTCACGGTCACTCTCGCACTTCCAAAAGCTGACGCTCTCGCCCTTTCGCAGTCGGTCCTGGAGCGTGAGGCAGCGTGCTGGATCGTAGTCGGCTCCAATGGTGATGTGGTACGTGAGCCAGTAGACGTGGTCTGTGGCGCGGCAGGCTTGATGTCCTCGTTCGACCCGCTTGGGGGTGTGGCCGTGGCGTTTGCTACTGAACCAGTGTGCCATCGTATCCCAGTGTGCCTGCGTACTCCAGTGTGCCGGCCTATCCCAGTGTGTCATCGTATCCCATCCAGTCTTGACGCCACCGGTGGCTTGGTGGTAGGTGTTCTCGGCGGCGCTGTTGACGTCTCTTGGGACTTGTGATGTTGGGGTGGCAAGTACGCCGGCGAGCATGAATATCATCCATGACATTGTGGAGTGTCTGCTCATCTGCATATTTGATCTGTGTTTGGATAGATGAAATGGTAAGACGGAGAGTGTCACTGGCACTGTGATTGTCAACAGTACTGGGGGAGAGAGATGTCGCACAGGAGAGATATAGCGGCAATGGCGAGCCTTATGACTGAGACAAACCTCCCATGACCGGATCAGTCAACACAATCACGCCACAGTAGCTTTGGGCGGCTTGCGGTTGAATTGTACAGCCTTATGACCCTTTTCCTTGCCCGGCCCAGAGCCATGACCATCCGACCAGCAGCTGTGACAGTAAAGGTCACCATCACAGCCCAGACATCGCACTTCTCCATCTTCGTTGCAGATACAGCACCAGCTGTCGATTTCTTCATCCGTAAAGGTCGGCAAGGTAGTCCGGTTTGCCGGTTTGAGGGATGCCACAACTTTGGGCTTGGAAGATGGCGCGGAAGTGGGCGTAGAGGGCAGACCCAAACTTCCCATGCCGAGCTTTGAGAACCGAGCTTCTAATTCGCTGTCCTCGGAAGTGTGCGGCTGGTGATCGGAAGGGTTGGGAGACTCTTTGAGATGCGAAGGGGTGGAGGGCAAATCGAGACCATCATTCAAGTCTGTTGCATCTTGACTGCTCCGGGGTGGCTGTTCCGGTTTTTCATCCCCCTCGCCGCCGCCACCATACTTTTTCTCAATATCAAGCTCAGCCAGGACTCGTGCAATGTAGTCATCGGCCTCTGCTTCGTCGTGCTGGTCATCAGTCTGCTCCGACTCGTGACCATTGCCATCGACGTGGTCACCATGCTCGCGGCTGTCGTGATCTTCACGCTGGCCATCTGGAGTATGGAGGCCGGAATTCTTCGGCAAAGCCTGTTGAGCCTCTGTGAGTAAAGCTTCAACACTCTTCGGTTCTTCTGGATCAAGCCGCCATTGGCCGTCTGCTTCCAGCTCCGCGAGAAGGTCTTCTACGCTCTGCTCGTCGCCGTGTGGTTGCTGCCAATTCCTGATGGGATCCGTCGGGACCGCAGATACATCTTGTGTTTGTACAGACTCCGGGCGGTGGAGAGGAGTTGCTGAGTTTGCAGCTTCTGGTCTCCTGATGGGCGAAGGCGTGCCACCGGATCGTAACGTTTTGAGTCTCTCCGCTAACTTGTCCTCGATTGTCTGTGGTTGCGATGTTTGTACATCTATTGACGGAGCGACGGCTTCCAAGTTGACAGATGACGGCTTGAGCGCATTCAAACGTGCGAGCAAGTCATCATCTTGCCCAGGCATGTTGTATATATCTCGACATTGATGGATGATATTGGTAGTGGAAAGGCGCGTTCTCACTTACAATACATGGATGTACCGACATCTACTGCCAAGCCAGATGACGTAAGGTGATATGAGTGAGCATGCTGATGGAGGCAGCAATAATCCACGAGTCGAGTGAACGTCGAAAGTCCATTGAGGACGGGCGATATATGCAATCAGAAGAAAAGTCATATGCAAAGAACAAGGCACAACAGAACAATGCAAGAGGACCTTTTTGTCCCTTCCAATATGATCAATGTCTCATGATACACAACTGATGTATATACATTACTACGCTTTCTTCGCATCGCGCTCCGCTTTCCTGAGAGCACGTTTCCGAATATCCACATGCATTTTCTGGTTAAATCCCAACACCAGTCCATTCATCGTCCCCGCAAACGTCTTGATCCCCCAATGCATCACTCCATGCGACCAATACGGCGTACTCGTAGCCGCAATCCCCTGTGCACCACCCGAGCGTCCAATCTTGCCCAAAGCCGCTCGGACAAATTGCTTCGGGTTGGGAATCATAGCCGAAGATCGTCGAATCTTGCTCATCGCTGAAGTCACCAAATAGGATTGTACGAGTTGGACTTTGATGTTCGAGGATGCGAGTTCGCCGCTGAGGGCGGTGGACCATTGTTGGAGGAAGGCTTTGCTGCCGCTGTAGGTGGCGAGCAGAGGGGTGGGCATGATGCCGCCAAAGGAAGCCATGGTCAGGATGAGACCGCGTTTTCGCTGAATCATGCCTGGTACGACGAGCTGTGTGACTCGCAGGGTGCCGAAGCAGTTGATTGTGATGATGTCTTTCAGCTCTTTCTCGGGCGTTTCGGCGAATGGGACGGGGATGCTGTGGCTCTGTCCCACGTTGTTGATGAGGATGGAGACATCGAGCTCCGAGACGAGGGTCTTCAGGTTGGCGAAGTCGGCGTCATTGTTGGCTGCAAAGTCCATGGCGTAGAGCTTGGTCTGGACATTGTGTTTCTGCTGGATTTCGGTCGCGAGGGTCTCGAGTTTGGATTGGGTGCGGGAGACGAGGAGGATGTTGAAGCCTTTCGCTGCGAGCTGGAGAGCGTATTCTTTGCCGATACCGTCGGAGGCGCCCGTGACGACCGCCCAGCTGCCTTTTTTGCCAAACTTGGAGAGCTGGTGGTATCAGCGGGTCGTAGGGTGAGAGGAGTGAGTGAACAGTAAGAAGTGGAGGTACATACCGAAGTGCCAGGCAGGATGAACAGAGATGCCATCAGCCGCCAGAAGGAGAAGATGTGCCACGACAGCCAGAGCAGGCCCATGGCCGCAAAGACTTGGGTCGTAGGAGCAGCATATGGGTCAATGGGCACCGCCGAATCCATCTTGTTCACTCCCTGGGGCAACAATTGGGTGTATTAATGTTGAGAGAGAGAGAGAGGACGTGCTCCTATATAGAACTACCTCCTACAAGGGTGGTCTCCAAGAATATTAAAAAGTGGGGACGCGTCGACACGTCTCACACAACCCAACACCACCTAACCTGATGAAAGAATAAAATACCATTTCCCACAAAACCACTCCCAAGAAACAAACCCACCATGTCCTCCTTCTTGACAGCTTACCTCCCCCAATCCGAAGGCCTCCTCCCCAAATGGCTTCTCTTCGTACGTCCTCTCTCCCTCTCCAAAAATCCACCTCATCAAAAAAAAAAAACCATACTGACATGCCATAAAAAAACAAAACAAAGATCGCCATAATCTCCCTCGGCAACACAATCCAATGCTACCGCAGTCTAACCGGTTCCCAAGAAGTCTACTCTGGCTCCTCCTCCCCCAAAAACAAAAATAACCCCTCCACTTCATCATCCACTTCATCATCACCAGTCACCCCCCTCTCAGCCCGAACCTTCGGAACCTGGACAGCCCTGAGCAGTATCATAAGATTATACGGCGCGTACAACATCCACGACGCGAAAATTTACGAACTCTGTCTCTGGACGTACGGGATTGCTTTTGGGCATTTTTTGAGCGAGTGGTGGATTTTTGGGACCGCGAGGTGGGGGAGGGGTTTGGCTGGGCCTGTGTTGGTGAGTACTGTGACGAGTTTGTGGATGCTTGTGCAGTGGGGGAGTTATGTTAGGTAGGGGAGGGAAGAAGAGGGAGATGTAAGAGAGGGGAGATGTGGAAGAGATGACGGTGATTGGAATCTTTATTTCCTGACAGGTGAAAAGAAAGAGGACTGGATGGATTCTAATTGAGGAAGTAAGAAAAAAGAAAAAGTATTCAAAAGAAATACATAATCATATCCTCGCCCCCTCCAAAATCGGTCTCGCCTCCTCCGTCCTCCACCAACTCACACCCTCTTTCCCCGGAAATTCATACCGATCCATACTCTCCGCCTTCATCTCCACCGAATATCCAGCTTCCGTCGGCGTCGTATAGTAACCATCCCGAATCACTGAAGGATGCAAAAAATGCTCGTGCAAATGATCCACATATTCCAATACCGACAGCTTCCCAGACACGACCACATAATCAATCGTGCTCAAATGCTGCGTGTACTCGGGTAAACCCACTCCGCCCGAATGCGGCACAATGGGGACACCGTACTTTTTCGCTATCAAGAGGACGGCCAAGACTTCGTTGACACCGCCCATCCGGCACGCGTCGATTTGACAGACGTCAATGGCGCCTTGTACAATCAGTTGTTTGAAAATGACGCGGTTTTGACACATTTCTCCCGTGGCGACGCCAATTCCCAAGGGTCGGAGCGCTTCGCGGATTTGCTTGTGTCCAAATACATCATCTGGTGAAGTGGGTTCTTCGATGAACCAGGGCTTGAATTCGGCCAAATGTCCCATATACTCAATCGCTTCGGGAACACTCCATACCTGGTTTGCATCCACCATCAAGACGTTTCCTTTGTCATACCCAATCACGTCTCTCGCAATCCCCAATCGCTTCCGATCTACCTCCACATCCGTTCCCACCTTCACTTTGAAATGTTTATACCCCTGCTGCACCGTCTCCTCTAACAGAGACCTCATCTTGTCCTCCCCATATCCCAACCACCCCGCACTCGTCGTATACGCCGGTACCGCACGATTCTTTTCCGCTTCCACAATCCTCTCTTTCTTCCCAGCTTCCATCTCTTTCAACATGTCCACCGCTTCCTTCGGTGTAATGGCATCCGTGATGTATCGGAAATCAATACACTGCACAAACTCCTCGGGTGACATGTCTGCCACAATCCTCCACACCGGCTTCCCCAGCTCTTTCGCCCACAGATCCCAAATCGCATTCACGACCGCTCCAAGCGCGAGATGGATGACACCCTTTTCGGGGCCGATCCATCGGAGGTGGGAATCGGAGACGAGGTATCTCCAGGTTTGACCCCAATTGGAGGTCAAGGAAGAGAGGGTTTTGCCGATGATGCGTTCGGAGAGGGCGGTGATGGCGTGGCAGACAATGTCGTTCCCGCGACCGATGGTGAAGGTCATACCGTGGCCGGAGAGGGAAGGAGAGGTGGTGTGGATGATGCAGTAGGCGGCCGAGTAGTCTCCTGCAGCATTCATGGCATCGCTGCCCGTCTTGTCGAGGGAGGTGGGAAAGCGAACGTCACGCGTGGTGATAGAGGTGATGGTGAGGGAGGACATTGTCGGGGCTGATCTCGTGTTTCTCTCTAGAGTGAATGATGGTATTAATTAGACGGGGCTAGCTCGTGGTGTCAGAGAGCACGAACAATAATGGGGTGTGTAATACTGGAGATTGACAATTGTATATGAACGTGAGTACCGGATGGGTTTTGTACTTACAAGCATTGCCCGTCATGTACATCGGCTCCAGCTTTTGAGGGAGCTTTCACGCCCGCATGGGAGCTCCCCACTACCCACTGCCCACTATGAGCTCCGGGTACGGCTTCCGCTCTGCGCACGAGTTCGGGCAGATGAATTTACTTCTATTCACTCTCGGTGTAAGTAACACCAATTCAGCCTGAAATGGTCTCGGTCTCGGGTCGTTGTTAACCAGAGGCGTTCGTCATGCTTTTAGAGCAAAACTTCCAATGTGAGTGCATCAATCATGATTCGAACGCCAGCTAGTGGCACGAGACATGATCACAGATCAATTCAAAGCTTCCAGATAACATCGCCCTTGGTGGCTGGCAGCACACTGGAGCAATGTGACAGGAGGCAGCTCGGGGAGGCTCGTGCGATGTTTGCTTTCCCGCCTGAGGCTGAAAAACAACACACGTTCGAGTAGTGTCGAGGCTGGAAGTTATCTAGACTCGATGAGAACACCTCGCTGATGGCAACCATGTCGCTAAAGGGGCTCAACGGGGTCGGCTCGCTCTGAAGAAGTGCTTCCTGGCAGCTGTTCTGCTATGCACAAGAACCAAGGCGGAGCCATATCGCGACCGGAGGCATGGCCTGGAAGCCTCACTGCTTTCTTTTTCGAGAAAATTGGTTGGTCTCCTCGTGAGTTCGTTGGCCCACCACATATTGGAATCCTCGAGTTCTGCACTGTATGCCCCCCTGCGAGCATGTCTGTCTCACAAGCAAGCTGGATCAAGACACGTGCAATGCACCGGAGAGCTTTCAACCCTTTCGTCGTCTACACATGGCGGCAACAACAGAGATGTCGTCCATTTTTCCACCTTCAATAGCAAGACCTTCTTCCACAGCCTTTTCCATGAACGGCGATGCAGCAAAGGGATCTTCTGCAATTTTCCGAGCTGACAACACGATTTCCTGCGCGACGTACTTCATCGCTTCGGCCACGTTATTTCCTCCTTGCTCTGAAGAACTGAAATTCTCTTTCCACTTTTGCAGAGCACCAACTGCGTGGTCTGCGATCTCCTCTTCCCACAGATTGTCTGTGACTCCATCACTCATCGCCAGGATGATGTCTTCTTCCGTGATGTCGACTTTATCCACAACGCCATTTTCTTCAGGAGTGTCGGGAGAGTTTGTTCCTAATTGTCTCGGACAATCGAAATAATGCCACTGCTCTTTCGTTGAAAACACCACTTCTGGATCCTTGACTTCGTTATTTTCTCCCTTCTCTGTGGCCCTCACAACCATCACCCTACAATCGCCCAGCTGTATCACATACAACACCGGCTGCTGAGCCCCTCCTTTCCCACGATAATGTAACAATGCCGCGCTCACAGTCGTAGTCCCCAACCACTCCTCCCCTTCCCTCATCAACACTTCCTTCGTCCTCTCATAAGCCCCAGCACACCACCCGACCAAATCCGGCTCCCCATTTCCCTCGCCCTCCCCATCACCCAGGCTCTTCTCCTCCACCTCCACCGCCAGAAAATGCCCAATCAGCCGACTCCATAATCCAGCACACCCTCTCTCCCTCGTCGCCCACGCCCCCACCCCATCGTTTGCAAGAATCAAATTCTTCTCGGCCAAAATCGCATCATCCCCATTCGTAACGCCGCGGATCATCTGGCCATCGACGCGGTCGACGCTGCGGTGGTGTGTGGAGAGCGGGTCGCTGAAGGAACCGCTGGGTGGAGAGAAGAAGGGAGGAGGGAAAGGGCGAGAGGGCCGCTTAGCCCAGCCGGAGTAGCCAGAAGCGAGGTAGAAAGGGGAGGCAGAGGAGGAGGAGGAGGAGGATGAAGAATGGGAGTTGGAGTTGGAGCTGTTTTGAGAGGAAGATTTGGGAGCGGGAGTCGAGAGGCCGCTTTGTGGGGAGCGAGAGCGAGGACGGCCTTTGCGTTGATCGTCGGAGTGAAGGAATGCGGAAGTGTGGAGGAAAACGTATTGTAGTGTTGCTGTGATTGTGGTGGTTGTGGCTGTCCTGGTCCTCGCACTGGCGCACCGAGATCTGGTGGTGAGGAGCATGCCGTTGGCGCTGCGTTATCTGTGTGCTGCTGCTGCTCTAGCGAGCTCGCATGAAGATGGTAGAAGCAGCATAACACGGCGGTTGAGATGGTCTTCGCCAGTCACAACGACGTCGTAAGGGACGGGAGCAATAGGAAATATGATGGCAATGACGTGAAGGTCAAAGTGAGCCGGCTAAATGCGCCACGTGACGCGCTCTCTGTGTCACTTTCGGAGCGAGAACCCCGAGCCGAATACACCTTGGCATTGACTATATACCTATTCTGTTATAGAAAAAACACCATCGCGATGGATGTGTAATGCGTGTGTCAATAGAGGCTGGTATACATCTATGCAACAAGCACATCCAGCACTCCATCCAAGCATTCCTCCCACCACTCCCTCTTTCCATCCCCGACCAGCGCATCAATCATCAATGCCGTTTGCCTCTTGTCCACTTCCACCTCTCCTTTCCCCGCGTGTCCTTCTTCCCTCTCCCTCCACAGCCTCTCCGCCTCCTCTCCAGCCCTCCTAATCACAGCCTGTTCATCTTCATCTCCATACAAATCACATCTCTCACACTCCCCACACCTCCCCCCATTCACTCTAAAGTGTTGACAGAAATGGCCATAACCCTCTTTACTCGTAATTTCACTCCGACAGACATAGCACATCGTGTAACCACAATTGCAGACCATTTTATTACATCCTGAGGCTTTGACAAAGGATAGTAGACACTTTGGGCACGTTCTCTTGATGGCTTGTGAAGAGGCCGTCTCGATCGCCGTGCGCAAGGACGTCTTTTCCGATTCGAAACAGGAATGAGGGTCGGTCCAGCGCGCAGTGCATTTGATACAGGACGTCCGACGACAGTCCGGATGGCGACAGGTAAACTTCGGAGGCCGTCGATGTTTCTGGAGGCGAGTGACGGATTGTCTGAAGATCCTGTTCAAAGGAGGTATCAGACTGATGAGGATGTACACGGTCATGCCGAGGATGGAGCAAGGTATGGTGAATAGTGTGAGGAACGTAAAGAATGATAAGAACATGATTTGGATGGCGGGTGGCGCTCGGCTGGCAATGTGGCTCCATATCGCCAAAGGATGTCGGAGGCGTGGTCTTGGGTACTCTTGCACTTCGGCATAATCGCAAAAGGGGCATCGTTGAAATGGCAGGCGAGACTGAAGAAGTGCTTCGTTCGTCACACGGGCTTGGAAGTCGTTCCAAATATCAGTATTGTCCACGCCTTGAGTCAACGCTCGGCGGACGAGGTCCTGCGGGATGTTGCCCGAGCAGTCTTCAGAGGCGAAACATCGTACAGTGGCGTGGTCCAAGTTGGCTGCTCGTGACCAGCCTTGACCGTATAGTGCTTCGTTTACAGTCCGCTGGATGCAATCTAGACAGAGAAGATGACACGCATCATCGCACACAGCCACGCGCTCAAATGAAACGGAGCTGTAGCAACATTCGCAATCGAAGAGGGCCTCGGCCTCTTCAGCTTCCGTATCGTTCAATGCAGTCGCTATTTCAAAGTCGGCTCGCGCACGATCCTGCCGCTTCTGTGTGACAAAGGGCAGAGCGAAGAGTTCATACAGTTCGTGGTCGAGTTCTAGACTTCCGGTCCGGCGCACGAATGGCTCTTGATCGTTCTGCCACACGATGAATGGATGAGAACGAATATCAGTAGGATCGTGGCCCGATCGTCTGGACCAGAACTGACCGAATGAGAAGCGCCACGAGCGAGCTGCGACTTGCTGTAGAACGGGTCTTGATAGTGTATACGAAAAGTTCTGTTCAGCAAGCACGCCACGAATGGTCGACTTGCTCAAACTATTGAACTCTTGGTAGAAGACTTGCTTGACTGCTTTTTTGTAATCTTCACTGCGGAACAAGTCTTCGTCTGCCAGTGGAGGATCGCTTCTTGCGCCTCGACTTGGCTCTCGACTGGACTTCCCGGGCTTTGATGGCGTGGTTTTGCCCGTGGTTCTATACCTGGATTGGACCCACTTCGCCTTCTTCGTCAGAAGATGCTCCGTCACGACCTGCAAGCGACTCTCTTCGCTAATGCTGATGAGCATCTCCCGGAACACTTCCGGCTGTACATCGGGGAAGACGTCGACCAGAGCACGTAAAGCAGAATTCAGCTCTCTGAGATTAGGCTCCTCTTCGTCGGCATCCTTCACACCCCTTTCAGGCAAGTTTGAGGGATCGTATAAGAGAGATATAGGAGAGGCAGAAGCCGGGTGTGTTCTGTGTTCCTTGTCTGCTGCTGCATTCGCTGCCGCCGTTCTAAATGGCCGGAATAAGTCTGCCTTGGACTTCCACAGCCGACCCGTCTTCGGCAAAGGCACATTGTCCATGGTGAGATGTGTGGATGGAGGGACACTGTACGGCCATTTGCAGTGCCATGTACAAGTGCTCGATGTCGAAGGCGGGAAGATGAAGATGGTAGGATTGGAAGTGAGGTAGGGGACATGGAGGAGCGCGTGACAAAGTCTAGAACTATTTTACCTCAGGCTCCAATCTCCGCTCCGGACATCGATCGTTTTTTTCCTTCCCATCGTCTCCATCTCTTCTTTTGACACAACCATCATATCTCCGCTCACAAGCAACAGGGTGTATCAGTCTCATTCATCGCTTTCTATCAACAGCATGCTATCTTGAGCCTCGCAGTGTATTCCAGAGTCACCAGTAACGGAGCTGAGCTGAAGTGGTAGTGCACAAGTCAGGCATTCTGTCAGTGATCAAGTGACGAGAGGGGCGGCCAAGCTCAGAATGGTGGGCGACGGCGTGGCTACGAGTGTGGTTGATGCCGTGGATCCTATGTCGGATGCACCAGCAGAGAGGAAGAGAATGGCATGTATCTTGCTGACTGCCAGTTGTCGGGATTGGCACAGCCGCAGAAACGGCCGGACCAGAATGCGGCGAGATTGAGGGCGCTGAGTGAGCACAAGGTGAACGAGAGATTTAACTGGATTGACGAAGAAGTGGATTTAGCCTCGTTCTCGACATTCTGCCACTCGAGTACCTGACTATGCCAACTTTCTAAGGAAAGCCCTGGAAAGCACTACAGAGTATTACAAAGAAGACTCTCGAGAAAGAATCGAGTTGGCGATACCAATACTCGGTATAGCTTACCTGAGTCCTGTTCTTCATATTGTTTGCGCTGTGAGAAGTCATCTCCTCCCGTTGTCACGACCTGGAAGCAGGTGCAAAGATAGGCTGCACCCAAGATTACTCCTAAAGTGCACCTGACTTCATTACATCTGGATTCGAAAGTCTGGCTGTAGGACTATCAGGTGTTCGTTGCGTCGAAGTCATTAACATAATGCCCGCGAGCAGATGTGACATACTGACGCCAAAAGAGCAAAGAATCGTGATCGAGAGAGCTGATATGCAAGCACGCATAGTGACGGAAACTGGCATTTATACTCGATCTACTGAGCATCTGGCATTGCTCTCACTTGCTCCCACATTTCTCCCTCAACGCTCACATCTGCAAACAGCTTTCGATTGTCTGAACTGCAAGGCTGCCTGCCCACTATGAAGGCAGTTCCGCTCCTGATCGGCGCTATACTTATTCTCGGTGCTGGCTTGGCATATGCACATCCTCACTCGCAGCACATTCAGCGTCGTACGCCCTGGAACTCTGTGCATCAGGCGCACTACCAACATTACAAGGGTCAAGCATGGCCATGCCCGGGATCTCGTCCTGGTGCATTACAGCCGTGCATCATTCGCTGGTGCTTCCAGAACGAAGAGTCCCGGGTACGACTGGGACAGACCGTCATGGCAGGCATAGCTCACTGGAAGCCCGCTGTCGAGGCTTCATGGATGAGATTCGCGCCAGCCGCTAATACTCCGACCAACCTCTGCACTGATCCTGGCGTGTCGCTTAGTGCTGTTCGTATTCTCCATGAGAGGACCATAGTAGGAGGTAGAAGCACTCTAGGTTACATGCCATTTTCGGAAGATTTCCTGAAAAAGCATCATCCGGACGGCATACATCTTCTGGAATTCAACACGTTACCTCCGCAAGTGAAAGCAATAAAAGCTTTTACGCCACCACCTGGGCAAGCACCTCACGAGGGAGCACTGTACTTTGAAGTCGGAACGGTGCTCGAAGTTTTACACTCGACCCCCGTGCAAGGATGGGTCGTAGGCATAACAGTGGCAGGACGTCGAGGGATTTTCCCAATCGACCACGTCGAGAGTACGGGCCTCAGCCTCCAGTACGATGCCTATGTGTATGTTCCTGTGGCTCGGACATTGTCGGTCTCAAGTTATGCATAATTTGTACTGACACTCCACAGGATGGCTCACGAGCTGGGACACGTTGCCGGCCTCGACCACGAGCATCAACGAACCGACGCCCGCGCACATTTCCACTTTGACTGCAGTCAAATTCATGGCTACGCCGAAGTCAAAGCGGCAATCGACGAAAAACAGAAGGATCTCGGCTACCGGAACGGCGACACGATTGAGCGAGTCTGCGAAGACTCTGAAATGGCCAAACGATACGAAGACGAGATTCCCGAGTTCGCCATTGCCGCTTGGATGCCCATGGACAGATCCGACGTCAATGGTCCCCAACCCAAGTCTGTCAAGACTGATTTTGACTCTGTAAGTTCACTTTTTAAGAAAAAAAAAAGGAAATTGGAGGCGTAACTGACATGTACCTTTCTTCCCCATCCACGCAACCAGATTATGATCTACAACTCCTACAACCAAAACGACTACAAACGTCTCGCAGGCAAAAACTATGCTTTCCCGCAAGGTGCTATCCTCACCCAAATCGATCCCTCTGCTCCCAGCGGCAGGAAGGAGATTCTCGGAGGTGGAATGAAAATCGATCCAGCCACGCAGGGGTATGATCTTTCGGGTGTGAAGGTCAGTGAAGGGGATATTGCGAGAATTGCGCAGTTGTACCCTCGAGATGGAGTGCCTGGACGAGCGGTTGCTTTTAAGCCGGAGTGGCAGAGAGCTCAGCAATGATTGTTGTTGTGGAATTGGATTGATGTATGGGTGGCTAGCTAGCTGGTCATTTGGTTCTGAGGATGGATGTTGATGTTGGTCATGAAAGTAGTGGATAAGGAGTTTCTCTTCCCATCTACCTACTTTTGTTCTGGAACTGTAGCCCCAAAAGAAAAGTTCAATACCTCCTTTTCATCTCTTCTCAGCAACAATGGCCTCCACCACCCTTGTCCATTCGCATATGAAATTCACCTTCAACGACAACCGTTACATCCTCGGCTCTCAATCGCGCACGCCGGAACCGGTGGTCTGTGCCACATCGCTTTCGCTACCTCTCAAGGAGAAACTGCCGTGTTCAGCAAGTGACAACAACATACAAAGTACAATAATCGTGCATTGATTGATTGAAACGAGTATAATTCCACCCGGCGAAACAAAAGTCCCACAGAACCAAACGATTATATTCGTACTTATATTAAATGCCGATATACCCTACATACAGCTGTCTTGTCTGGTCTGCGAACGCGTGGTACGTGTACCCTACCTATCGTTTTGTTCATTATCGTGTGAGGCGTGTTGCACAACAGACAATATAAGGTAAGATTTTTTTTTATATTTACTATTGTTTTGGTTGACGGAAAGTATATCTGTACTTCTTCTTCTTCTTCTTCTTCTTCTTCAGCCCTAGGGTATAGTACCTGACAGGTAAACATGTGATAGGTACCTACATGTAGGAGCCGAAGAGGAATGCCGACACGATAACATTAACCCCAGACTAAAGAAGACAAAATCACCTTCCCGTTTGCGTCACGATCGGCAGCATTAGGTACCTACATCAACATCTGTGACATCGTCAGCCAGCCATGAATGCTTGGTACATGTACTCGAGGTATTATTTCTCTTTATTCTCTTTTTCCTTCTTCTTCTTCATCATCATCTTCCTCACATTTGAATTCCATCACCATATATTATTAACCATGAAGGGAATTGCTACATGGACAGCATGGATTTTCCTCGCTACAGCATCGTCTCTAGTAGCAGGATATGGAGAACCCAACTTGAAGCATGAACACGCCGGAGACGTATTTACCCAATTCCATGGAAAACAGTGTTATATCGAAGGTCCCGCGAGCAATGGAAGCTCCACTGGTACCATGGAGCATATTGGCGGTGGTAAGCTTCCCTATCTTATGTGTAGATATTCGAATACAAGTCACTAACCAGCAGAAAATCCACAGAAGATTTATACATCGCCTACCCTCCCCACCACAACAACAACAACAATAGCAGTACAACTCCACCATCAGCAATCCTCTACCTCACCGACATCTTCGGCCTCCAACTCATCAACAACCGCCTCCTCGCCGACGCCCTCTCCAAAGCCGGCTACCTCGTCGTTCTGCCAGATTTATTCCGAGGAGATCCCGTCCCCGCCGACGCCCTCTCCGACCCTTCTTCCAACTTCAACATGACCGCCTGGAGAGCCCGCCATCCTCAATCTCAAGTCGAAGCCATCATTACCTCTGCTCTCAATACTACGCGGCAACATTTTGGAGCCACGAAGGTTGGAGGCGTGGGATATTGTTTTGGTGGGAAATATATCGCTCGTTTCCTTTCTGTTTCTTCTGCAGAAAAAGAAGAAGACGGGTTAAATGCCGGTTTCACAGCCCATCCCTCAGGTACTCTCCCCTCGGAATGGGAAGCCATCTCTCCCACTCGCCCCATCAGTATCGCATTTGGAGAATTCGACGCCTCGAATACCGCAGCCAATCGCACGGAAATCGAAGACATTTTTTCCCGAGGAAATAAAACTTTTCAGACGACCTTGTATGCGCGTGCCGAACATGGATTTGCTGTTAGGACGAATTTGTCGGATCCGAGGTTGGCGTTTGCGCAGGAAAGTGCGTATTTGCAGGCTGTGAGGTGGTTGGATGCTTGGTTGGGTGATAGTTAGTTGCCAGGTGAGGTGGGTGAGGTAGATAGATAGATACCTTATTGTTGATGATGATGAGATGAATGATGGGATGGGATGGATGATCATGATTCACAAGGATGAAATAACAAATTTTTTTTCCCTAACTACCTCTAAATCATCTTCCCAAAACTCGGAGCCTTCTGATAACCCGGAAACCGCTCCAACTGCTCCTCATCCAACCTCCTCAACTGCGGACATCCCAACTGCTCAACCACCGACCCAACAGCACTCTGCACCTGATTGAGCACATCATCCAGCAGAAAATCCGTCTTAACTTGCGCCACAGTCTGATAAGCAAAACAACCCAAATTATTCCCCCGCAACAAATCCGCAGAATTGAACACCCCACCCGTCAAATCCGAGACATTGACGCCTGCGAAATTATTCGTTTGCCCGTCTAAATTGCCCCCCACGTTGAGGAATTTGGCGTGTAATCCTGCTGCGACGACCGTGTCGCCGAGGAAATAAGGGATCGTGTACGTGGATGTGAGAGAGCGGCGATACCAATTATCCGGGATTCGTTCGTGGCCTTGCGTGGCTGAGTAATTTCCGTCTTCGCCGCTGATGGCGAACCAGCTCTTGATGGTGGAGTAGGAGAGTGTGCCGATGGGGTCTTCGGCGGAGTGGTTGGCCATGAAGCGGTAGATGAATGTGAAAGCGGCGGATTGCACGAGGAGACCGGGGAAGGGGGCGTTGAAGAAGTAAGGGTTGTTGGCAATGGACGAGTCGAATCGGTTGGAGCGGTGCGTGGTTAGACTGTCCAAGGTGACGACTCCGCCGGGAGAGACGTTGATGAGTTCTTGGAACTGGCTGGCTTGCGTGATGTAGTTGTTTCCCGCCTGATACAAGTCTGGCCGCGTGGGAGATACGTCGTTCTCGTACTTGTTGTGCGACCCGATCAATCCATTGCCTCCCTGCGCGAGAGGTCCGCCCACTCCTGGTGGTGGAGTCCCGCCGATGGACCACGCTTGAAGGTCTCCCGAGTCGATCAAAGCTCCCAGGATTGCCAAAAAGCCTGCCAAATCCTCTCCCATGCCGACGACCGAGGTCGTGACATCAATGAACTGCTGGATAGTGGCATAGCCCGATCGTGGCAAGAAGCCGCTAGACGCAGTTGTCAGTAATGATGACTCTAAATCATTCGGAGAGTGAAACATCTTTCTTACTGGTTGGCAAAGGCGTTCAAGCCGGGGCACACTCCACGAAGGTCATTCGGACCAGGAGCCTGCCACTCGTGCCCACTCCCTGGACCGACATCAATGAGTTGCTTCGCAGCGTCAAAGGTGGGAATGGCCTCGAAAATGGCAGTGGCAGCGTCTGCACCAGCTTGACGCTTCGCGAGTGCCATCACGTCGGCGGCACGGGCTTCGACGTTCGGGTCATTCTTGATCGCCTCCAGCATATGGGCTGGGAAGGCTGCAGCCAGAGGCAGGGCGCTCACGAGCGCGGAGGTCGAAGTGAACTTCATGGTGCCCGATCAATCCTCGAGGCGTAAAGCAGGAAAGGAGGAGGAGTAGCGCGTGGTTGGCGTTGCGTGGATCTTGAATCGTTGTGAAGAACTGGGCGTTCAAGATCTCTTCTATTATATTGTCTGCTCACAACGTGCTCGCCACCATGTAGCATGACAGAGCGCTCATTCTCCGAGGCACATTGCATTGATTGTTAGCCTGGAAACTGGACATGTAATGTCCAACTGTGGTTGTGACGATCCACTGGCATCATTGTCAGTGCGGCGGAATGTGCTGGCTGGGAAACATTTCATGTCCATCCGCTTGGTCGCCTTGCGAGAGGAGAGATACCTCTTGGTCGGCAGAGTTTGTAGGATTCAATCGACCGATTCTCTCTTGCCGCCTTGCAAAAGGTAAGAGGTACTCTCCACTCATGGGCCATGGATCTTGTTTTCCGAGGCAGAATACCTTTGATCGTCAACTCTTCAGCATTGGATCGACAGCTGAGAGCCACTTTCAACCATTTCTCCACGCTCGACTATCTCAAAGCGACAAGATTAATGCCAATCTTGGAGAAGCGGATCGGCCAACCAAACTGTCTTTCACAATTGTATGTCACAACTATTCAATTCACGCAAGTATCTCGCTGGTGGACAGGACAGGCGCGGTACATACGGCTTGCGTGATAAATCGTCCCTAAGAAGTGATCCAGCAGCTTAAAATATACGTAGGAGGCGGTGGCGATCAGCTCCTTTGAGAGGAATGAGGCTCAACACAATGCACTTCAAGACGCCTCAACCGGAGGGCGTAAATATGCATGAATGGATGCTAAGACAAGCCCCGGCAGCGATCGGTTGTAGGTTCATCAAGATGGTTCATCAGAAACAGCGCCATTTAATGAACATCCAACCCAAAGCACATCATCGTATATGCTCTTCCCACCAACAACATGTTGGGCCCGATGGTGCTCAATCTACCTCCTACCTCTTCTCCGCCATCTACGCCACCTGTATCCACTGTAGTCTGCAGTGTGAAGCGATGTGAAACGAGGATCAGGCTTACAACGAGGCTGGCGGTGGCGGGATATATCGGTCTTGGTGTATTTTGGTCGTCGCAAGTGTAGATTGATGCAATTGCTTGTAATGGACTGGTGTGAGGGTGAGTGTGTGCGTGTGTATAGAGAGAAATTGAGAGGGAGAGGGAGAGAGGGAGTTCAAGAGAAAGTGAGAGTCAATTGCCAAGCTTTGGACCCCTGCCATTGACTCTTGGCGCGTGGGTGAATGTTCAGGCACATCCCGAGCAATCGCATGCTGTGCTGGCAACTCTGCAAACCATCTCCCATCTCTCCTGTCTCCCTCTCCTTTTCCTGTGTAAATGACACAGATATGCCATGTGCGCAGCGCCAGAAATATGCGACGCGCTCCAGCAAATGGCTCGATCGCTGGCTTCAAACACATTCGCGATAATTCCACGATATCAATGATTGAATCCCAGCACGATAGGCCAGGATGAAATTGCCCGGTCCGGTCGACCCGGTCGACAGTCTCTCCTGATGATGAGAGCGCAAATACAAATTCCGCTTGGAAACAGTATTCAGTCCAAACAAAAGCACAAGCACGAGGAAAAGGAGGAGGCATTCCCACGCCTGATTATCAAGTGACACCTGTCTCGTGGTTCATTGCTCCCATCTCAACATGGTTCTCCCAGTCGCCCATCCCACCAAGTCTTACTGGGTAAATCGCAGTAACAAGGACCACATCTTGATACCACAGAGTTGACAAAAGCTAGATCGAAGCCGCCGAATCGCCGCTCCGGGACTTCCGTTCTAGCGACAGCCTCCCTGAGGAGGCCGATGTCGTGATCGTGGGAAGTGGGTATGCCGGTGCTTCAGCAGCATACTGGATACACAAGGTGTGTCCTTCGACCCCGTGTCTTCTTTGTCATGACTGAGAGAAGTAGTCTACAGAGAATCAGGCTTCGCAGCCCCAAGTGGTCCTCTTGGAAGCACGAGACATCTGCAGCTGTGCCACGGGCCGGAACGGTGGCCAGCTGCGACCACATGCCTATTCTCGCTATCTGCCATGGAGGGAATGGTTTGGGGCGGATGGTGCTATGGAGTTGATCAAGCATGAAATGGCCCATCTGCCCGCATTTCAAGCCCTGGCTGAAGCAGAAGGCATTGCAGAAGAGGTCTGCCTCCAATTCGGCGAAACCTTTGATGCTGCCATGACCGACGAGGCCTGGACTCGACTGAAAGGGAACTATGATGCGATGAAAGCGGATCATGGAGACGATCATGAAGTTGTTCGAGCGTGCAGACTCATCGAAGATGCCCTGGCAGCGGAAGATTTCTCGCAAATGAAGGGAACTCTCGCCGCTGTCGTGCATCCCGCAGGACAGATGTGAGCCAGAAAAGAAATGCCAGCTTCCTGACCTTGTACTGACACTGCATTGCAGATGGCCCTACAAGTTCGTGCATGCACTGCTCCGCATCGTTCTGGCAGCCGGCAACCTGAATCTACAAGCACATACTCCAGCACAAGCCGTCTCGGAGCGTGACGAAGATGGCTGGATCACCGTCCACACGGACCGAGGAGTGATACGAACACGAGCAGTCGTGCACACTACGAACCGATGGGCATCTCATCTGCTACCCGAGTTCAGTACACTCATCCTCGGAGATAGGGCACCGATGGCCGCGATCCAAGCGCCCGAAGGCTTCATCAAACATACCGGCGCTCAGCATTGGGATGCGTCTGTCAATGTAAGTTTTGCGTCATGCGTTCATATAGGAAATTCTTTTGTTTCCCACTCCTGACGCCGGACAGAACTACCACTTGCAACTACCACCGCCGTACAACACGATCATTTTCGGAGGCGGTAGACAATTCCTGGTACACCGACCCGACGCATGTTTCCCCAATGACGAAGAGGACAAGCAAGTCGATGGCTTTGCGGACTTTTGTCACACCTGGCCTGCATCAGACGTGAAAGGCTGGCCCGATAGCAAAGCCGCTGCATTCAGCAAAGATGCGGATCTCGGCGGAGTGTGGACAGGCATTGAGACCACGACCATCGACTCCTTTCCCTTTGTGGGTCCCGTACCCGGTCGAGAAGGACATTTCATTGCAGCAGGTTTCGTCGGTCATGGCATGCCACGCATTCTCGGCTCGACCGCACACATTACTCCTCTCGTCCTCGACTGGCTTGAATTCAAGAACCACCACCTACCTTGTATGGCGGACGTCTTCCCACCGTTGCCAGCACCGTTCCTGGCCACGGCGGACCGTGTAGAGCGATTAGTGAAAAGTGCAGATGTATCTGCGAAAGTAGAAGCATTTCGAAAGAGTTGCCAGGAAAGCGCTGCAAAGGCCTTTTGTAATGATGCGAGAAGTCGACCGGTGAAGTCTGCGCTCCAGAAGAATGACGAGGAGAGACGAGATAGTCCCGTCAGTACGTAGCCCTGGAGAGCGAGCGTGGCAGACTGATCTGTTGTTGTTGTTGTTGTTGTTGTTGTTTAAACGTTGTTGTAGGATCTGGATAATCATGCATATCAAGGATCTTCCCCGCCAACGATTTCACCACGTGCAAAAGCTTCTTCTTTCTGTTCGTGTTGATGTGAGATGTGAGATGTGAGTGAGTGAGTGAGTAGTGAGAGAACCCAGAGCGAACAGGGTACATCAGAACTGCCGTGTATGTAGAAGTAAGGTAACAATGTTTCTGTCTGACAGTCAAGAAGCTTTCCGGTCCTTCCATCGATGAACCTGGGTTTTTTACTCAAGTAAAAAACCAACACGAATGATGAACGTTAAAAAGTAATAATACAGGTAAACTATACCAACCTACGGTATCTAGACTTCTAGAGAAACACAAAAACACCACGTGGCGCAGTTCGTTCGTGACCGGCCCGCGGCCCAAAATTCGAGGCCACGAGGGGACGGGAGGGCTAGGTATGGTATGCTGGTCGAATTATCATGTTTGAACAGTTAGACATTGATTAGATTTGTAAACCAGGTTCTTCCCTACAATACTGTATATCCGATCAGACAAAACATGCTAGGTAAGCGCCAAAAGACATTGGACTTTTTTATTGAGAGTCTAGAAGACAATCGACAATCGACAATCGACAATCGACAAGCTTATTATTATTATTAGTTTTCTTACCTACCTATCGTGTGTAAGGCCCAGTCTACTTTGTCGATAATTGTGTCGATAGTAAGCAGGTCGATAGTTTCCGGTCACTATCGCTCACTCTATTGACACCTGTCTACTCAGCTATCGACCAAAAATGGACGATAGTTACCTGTCGATAGTAAAAAGCTCGTATACCCTCGTAAACCGTCGCCGTCGCTGCCTACGCACCATATCCGGTTAGTAAACGCTCGGACATAGTCTACTATCTCAAATGGTCCTCTTAGAGGCACATTTTGCGCTCCGTGCATATTCAATTAGGTTCCGGGGCGGCGGCACTGTTTATATACGCGTTGTACCTCCTAGTACGACGGCGACGACGGCGACGACGGCGACGACGGCGACGACGGCGACGACGGCGACGACGGCGACGACGGACAGCGACGACAGCGACGACAGCGACGACAGCGGCGACAGCGGCGATAGCGGCGACAGCGGCGACAGCGGCGACAGCGGCGATAGCGATAGCGACAGTAATAATAGCGACAGCGACGACGACAGCGACGACAGCGACGACAGCGACGACGGCGCGGAG